AGTGTGCGCAGATCTTTTTGCAATTCTCTTTCATAAATGCATGAAAATATCATGTTCATAGTACTGAATACTCTTCGCGCACCCGACTTTCCTATCAACGCAGTCTCCTCCTTAACTTGTTTAGGGTAGCCATGTGCACACTGTTAGTTATATCAGAAGAAAAAAAAAGTGGAAAAAAAATAAGTGTTAGGACGTGGAGCTGTTGTCGACGCACTTTCTGAAGCGCTTTGCTCCGTTTCCTACGTGTTTTCACCGGTTGCATCTCCGGAAGTGCTAGAGTAAGCAGCTGAAGATTCTGTTTCAGTTGATACACTTGTTTCTTTGGTTGTATCACGTACTGCGAAAGATGTTGCTGCAAGTTTACAGAACGATAAGTTGGAGGTTATTTGAAATTGTTGTAAACTGAAATATTCTTATTTATATTGGAGTTTCTGCCGACTAGGAGAAGAAATAGAAAACTGCCGACCGCAATAGTGCGCAGGGGAGCGCTTTGAAGGAAATGCTTGCATGCTAAAAATGCCAGCAAGGATTGCAGAATTGAAAGAGTTGCTTTCATCTTCATGCTGTAAGTGAACGTTAGTTGTATCCGCACAAAATCTCTTTTATAAGCATTCTATGCGAGAGGCCCGAAACAGTAAAGTTTGTCGAAAAAGTTTTGTGTACACAAACTCTCGTCTCTCATAGAGAGTGACTAGAGGAATATTACAAAAAGGGAATTGACTGTCATGCGTGTGCGACTGGTGGTGGAGAAGCATTTTGACCTTATGATCCACCACTGGATAACAGTAATCAACCATAATGCAATCTTTACGCTCTTTAATTTTCATTCGCTAGCTTTCACTCATTAGCTTTCATAGTGCTGACTCATTGAACTCTTTTGACAAACAAAGAGTTGCTTCTTCAAATTGTACTTGAAAATCTAATGAAGGACTGACTGCTTTGTTTTAGGTAGAAGAAGTAATGCTGCTTTATAAAAAAAGAGTTTCGTCGCAGCGCAATCTTCCGCTTGCTTGACTAATAATTCTGCCATAGGTTTAATGATGCATCATGTTTGAACAATTACGGAGTAAAAGCTGTCACCGCGTGAGTATATCTGACCGGGAAAAACAGACGCTGATTTTTCTGCCGTACCTCTGAAATGGTAAGAAAAGTTAAAACCTTGGTACCAGGAAAAGAAAGTTGTTGTTGATAAGTTCAAAAGTCTCCAGTGAAAATCAGATTAAAAAAGGCAGAGAAACAGCAGAAGCAAAACTAGAAAAAGAAAAGAAGAACGGAAAGTTAAAGCTAACTGCTATCATTCATGCCTGCCCAAGCAAAAAAGGCACTTTACTCATTCACCAAGTCTTAACACGTTGGGAGATGTCCTTTATGAACTTACAGTTAAGAAATAAAGTTTGCTGCCAGAGAAAAAATCAGAAAAACGATATAAAAAGCAAAAAGAAGATTAAAAAACAGGAAGGTCTCTCTCAAAACAGTGAACATTCAATTGAACAACTAAGAGTCAGCCCGGAGTGACGATGCAAAAATCAGAAATGAGTAATAAACAAAATTTTTTGAGTACAGTTGCACAACCGATATACACTCAGTTCTAACTGACTTCGGGCAGAGCAATGTTTATCTGATTTATGCTTTTTTTGTGCGCCTCAAAGCAGCATATATAAATTCAATATTCAACATATAACACACTAGACCCCTAACACTTCTCCGTGCTATTTATGCTAGCTTTGGCTTTAGATTTATTTTCTCAAGGTATTTCAAGGTAAAATTGTTTCAGTTTGTGATTTCTTTACAAGCCTTAATTGCTTATTTGTCCGAAACTTTTGTGTATACTGTGTTGCTTGTAATAAAAGTCTAGTGTTTACTGAGCTGTCAAATTTTCTTTTGTTTTTTTTTTAATGTGTTTGTTTTGAAGCTTAAAATATAGACTTCTATTTTTTTTTAATCTTTATCACTGCTGTTGTTAACATCGGTAGTTGTGGACTTTTTTTATTTAGAAGAAGTCTTGCCGCTTCTGTTCAAAAAGCATTTTCTAGAATACTCTAGTTTTCTTGCTACAGTGGTATGTTGCTTAAATTTAGTAGTGTTTCGCCAAAGCTTGGAACGTTTGTGTTAAATGTTAGATTAAACTTTTTGTGGTAACTGTGAACAATGTGACACTTTACAGTTAAGAATACAGTAAACTGATCTTCCTGCTCAGCAGAAATTCTAAACAATGAGTAAGAACTGACAAATAGACCTAAGCCAATTTGTTAATTTAGTATTTCCATCAAGCTTTTGCTCAGCTCACGTTCGAATCAAAGAACAGAATTCATTTATTAAACATTTGTATAAAACAGTTTTGATTTCTTCCTTCTATTTATTACGATTCTCTAGTTTCAAGTGTTCACTGCTTTTTTTTAGAATACTATAACTTGATTATTTATGTTTGTCTTCTTTGCTTTCTTTTGTATTGCATAACTTTGGAGCTGTAGCAGTAGACTGCTAAAGATTGTACTCATTAAGAATTCTAGTAATTTACAATTAGCTGGAGCTGTTTGATAAAGTTGAAGGTAATTATGCACTTGAGAGCAATAATTGCTGAAGTGGAACTATAAGCGAAGGATACAGCTGGTTTGGTACTGTGAAAAATTAGGCTGACTTTATTTATAGCAAAAAAGTTATGCTGTATTGAAATTTTCCAGAACACTGTTAAAAGAGATAACCTTCCTATTGTCATCCAACTGTAAAAGTCTGTATAGTTAACTACTCTGTTTTTTTCTGAAATGTAATTTTAAACTGTTTTATTGAGGTAAATTCTTTTTTGAAAAAGCAGTTTTTCAAGCAAACAAGCTTTTAGGTTGAACGTCGGAGAATGCTTTGAAGAATTCTGTGTTTGGATTCTATATTTTCATATTATCAGAACTCTTTATCTTTCCTGCATTATACTGCTGCTAAAAAAAGTTTTTTCAATGTGAAAATTATTGCAGGCAATAAATTTTATTCAATAAATGTAAAAATTCTCTATCTACACCTGCTAATCAAAAATTTTTGTAATATGTGCTAAGAGAAAGTTTTAATACTTTGCGGTAAAGCACTGGTACCTCTCGCTTTGAGAGGAAAACATGGTGTTCAAGGAAAGCGACACTGAAAAAGCTTTCTCACTATAAATTATGAGGTTTTTTAAAACCTGCGTAAGAGAGAAAAGGAAAACATAGTTTGAATCAAAATCAAGGTCAAGGTTCGGCAATGCGTGTCACTGTTTGACGAAAGATGAAGAAGTGAAAAGGTTGGTCTGATGAGCACCGCATTAGCTGACGTAAGAACCAAAAAATTGAGTGACAAACTGTGTGAATTTCGTCAACAAGCCGCCATAAAAATTTCTTCTCAATATATTATAAAAAATCGAGTATATGTTGTAATCAAAAAGATTGGAAAATCTAGCTAGATAAAGGTTTTATACAGAAAAATTTTCTGCAACTAGTGTTTTATCCAGAGAAGAAGACTGTCGATCTTTTTAATGAGAAAACCTAGAGTAAATGAGGCTGAAATGCCTTTGAAAATTTTGTAAGGGTTGCGCAATCAAAATTTTGCATCAGAGACCTTTACAATCTTGGGAACGTTAGCAAATTTGTGTTTTGTCTAACAAACATTTTTAAAGAAACAAGAGTGTATTTTTTGCTGAGATGCACCACTATGAATTTGTAGTAAAAAGCCTATTCCAAATTCAGCATTTTACCAGTTCGTAAGCTCCTGTTTCAATTATTAAATTACGTACTGCTCAAAAATTGCAAAAAATTAGTAAAGTAGTAGTAAAAATGTCTGATTAAATCAACTATTTACTGCAGTCAGTTTGTGAGAGGTTAGTTTACTTGTCGACTTTTTTAATTCTGTTTTGAGTCTTGACTAAACAAGGTCAAGTTTTAAAACAGTGTCTCCTACAGCAGTTTTGCAGAAGAGCAATTTAAATTGTTAAACAGTCTAAAATCTTTTGTCTTACACATTTATTTTTCAGAGGTACTTTATTGAAAGCTCAAGCTGTTCTTCAACACTTGATAGAAATAATTGAGTATGCGTTAAAGGTGTAAAACAAAACAGTAGTTTTGCTCAGAAACATCGCAGTGTTTGCTTATTTCTTTGTTTCAATCGAAGACTGTGATTGAGCCACTATGTGATCGTTTTTGATCTTCTCTTTTTTCTTTTCAATTTCTTTTGTGGCAGTATTCCAGCCATAGTTGTTACTTTTCCATCTTTTTATTTTTATTTTATTTTATTTTATTTTTTTTTTTTTTTGTAAGCAGATTTTCACAGTAAAAGGAAAAAAAAACAGCATGAGCTTTTTTTGTTGAGACAAAAGCGATGACCAAACAATTTTTTATTTTTAGTGTAGAAAGATGATTATAGTAAGAAACAAAGCTATAAAATAATTAAACGAGTAATAGTAGCATATTGAGAAGCTGGTGATTGTAATTTCGCAGCTGTTTTAACAACTCTTTCTGATTTTTATTCAGCTGTTCTGCCTTACTTTTCACAAAATTAGTCTTGTATGAACGCTAGACAGTCTGTGACTGCTCGCAGTAAAAGGTGAAACTAAATAAGTTCATCTCTTCTTCTTTAGTTTTTGCGTGGAAAAAAAAAAAACCAAATGAATAATTTTTAAGACAGTTACCAGAAAGAACGCTTCGAATGCAAAATGCATACGCGTGAAACTGTTCGAAGGACGCAACAATTAACCGTATAAATACTTCTGGCAGTAGTTATCTTTATTGAAGATGAACTTTAATTCAGCTAACTGTTAATAATAATCAAAAAATAAGAGTTCTCAGCTTGAAATGTAACCCAGCTTTGAAATCTTTTCTGCTGTTCAACGACTTAAAATAGCTGTCTAAAAATGCAAATAACACGGATTGCATTGAGTGAAGCTCGGATTAGTACGTAGTTGGCAGCAAAATTTGAATAAACAAAATTTTTTTCAAGTAGAATTAATAACTGCTCATTAACACTTTAAAATCTAAGTACAGATTGAAACGAAGTTTAATACAAGTTTATTACAAAATTTTAGTTTCATAAATGCCAGTATTCATTTAAAGGTAAACTGGTAGTTATAGTTTTTTTTTTTTTTGAAGAATAGTTTGCGTTGACTGAATCAAAAATTTTTGAAATTTATTTTTTTTAAATATTTGTTCTGATTCGCAAGCAATCTTATCAAAGTACCTTTAACATCTTTATCATAGTTTTTGAATGTAAAATTGTGACTGGACAGAATTAAAATATGTTATTAATTCCAGCACGTTTACGAAACGCTAATTATTAAAACGTAAATTTATGCAACTATTTTAAACGTGTTTGTCTGATGAAAAATTCACTTATTAATGATCATTTTTATGGCAAACACTTGAGACTGGTCTTTAGCTTTCGGCAAAGGATTTAGCGTCGATGGCTGAAGGTGTCTGCTGTTGTCAAATCAACAATCAACAAAAATGGTTGTCTTGAAGCTCTTTTTGATATATTCAGTACAAAAATAGTAGAAAAAACGACATGGTAAATAAGTATCTTACTTCAACCTTGTT